ATTTGTAATCTAAATTTGAAGAGGTATATCTCTAGTGATTTGGGCTCCAGGTGCATACAAAATAAAGGGGAAGACATGCTACTAATGATAAGCAGCAAAGCAATTGTATTAAACATCAGATGAAACAGCAGTGTTTCTAACTTTACTATATGGATTAGCCTGCTAGAGTGGCAATAACAAAATACTATAGATGGGTAACTTAAACAACAGAAATTGATTTCTCACAGTTCTGGAAGCTGGAAGTCCAAGATATAGATGTTGTCAGGTTTGGTTTCTGGCTTGTAAGTGACCACCTTCTTACTGTGTCTTAGAGGACCCTTTCTTTATGTGTCCTACTCTTCATCTTCATAGGACACCATTCCTATTAGATTAGGACCCAACCCTTGTTACTTCATTTAACCTTAATTACCTCCTTAACAACCCTATCTCCAAATATAGTCACTTGGGGTTTATGGCTTGAACATACAAAGGGGTGGGGGGTGGGCACAGTTGAATCCATACACTATGTTAAAGGTTTGGCAATATTTGGAACATATAGGGACTCTGCAAATAACTGGGACTATAAAACGGCAAAGGAGACATGGAGAACAAAGTTCCTTTGTAGAGCATGGAGTCTTGAGACAGAGACAGAAAAAGTTGAGACAAACACAAACATTTAAGCTGTGATATGTGCTGTTAAGGAAATTACCACGGTTCCAAAATAAAGATAAAGTGGATCTACTTTTGATAGGGTGGTCAGGGAAGGCCTTTCTGAGAAGTAACATGTCAGCTGAGAGCTGAAGGATGAGAAGACATTAGCAAAAGAATGTTCTAGAGAAGGGCAACAGTATGCACAAAGGTCCTGAGACAGGAAAGAACAGAAAGAAGGCAAGGATGACAGGGGCATGGTGATCAAGAGTGAGGTAAGTAGTTCTGAGAGGGAGACATGAGGTCTGAGGTAGGCAGGAATCAGAACTTATGGGTCATGGGAGAAGTGTGTTTTTTAGGCCTAATTGCAGTGTGAAACCAACTGGTATTTTACAAAGACCACTCTAGCCACTGTAAGGGAAGAGACCAGGCAGCAATGGGTGAGGGGAAATACATGTTAGGAGATAATTGCTGTACGGCAGGCTTGGATCAGGCCGGCAGCATTGCAGACTGGAAAACAGACTGGAGAGACATTTTGGAAGAGGATTCAACCGATTTGAGGGAGTACCTGGCTGTGGTAAATGAAGACAAGGAGGAGTCCAGGATTACTTTTAGGTTCCTGACCTGGGCAACAGATGGGCCAATTCTCTAAAAGGAAAGGCCTAAGTAGGGAATGTCTTGGGGGAAGTGGGGAGGGTGAGAATTGAGAGTTCTGTTTTGAACAGCTATACCTAAAGTAAATCCAAGTAGCGATGTCAGGTGGTTGGTTAGGTATATAGTGTGGAGCTCAGAGGAGAGGCTTGGAAGCCATTACTATATTGATGGCATTGGAAGCCACAGAAGAGAGTATGATAAAGAAAAGACGTCCAGAATTAAGCCATTCAACAAGCAGTAATCCCAGATGTGATGCAAAAATTTAGTCAATGAACCATCTATAACGTGGGTTTGGGGATGGGGAAGAAGGATGGAGGGAGAGCTATTGAGAATCCATCTCGTTAGGTCAGCCAAGCTGTAATGCAGGCTTAGACCAGAGTAAATGAGAACTGATCCTTTTTCTTGTCCTATCATATCTTCTCTTCCAGGGCACTCTGATTTCATCTCCCAATGCCGACTGTTGCCTCTAGGTTTATATTTCAGTCTTAATATTTTTACTTGCTTGCTAAATATCTCATTTTGGGTTCCCCTCAGTACCTCAAACAAAATACTTGGTCAAATCCAGCTTATTTGCTCCATCTACCATAGCATTGCTCTTTTGATACTCCTACTCCCAGGAAATGTGAGGTGGGTCTTCCCCCTTGTTTCTTCTTATTTTCCTTAATGAGTAAGTTGCCAAATCTTGTTGGTTACACATCAGTAATATTGTTTAATCAGGCTAAGTTTTCATTTGTAAAATATATTAACTTTAAAAAGTATCCACTGTTATCATAAATGCTAATAAATAAAATTCTTTTAATCAAAGATGCAATGTTATTTTTGTAAGAACTGCATTTTCTTCAAATCTTCCACCTAAAGATTTACCTTTGGACTAAGATATAGTATGAATAAAAGTGAAGCCAGCTTACAGAGATATTTAGACTGCAAAGCTATTCAACCTTAGCAGAAGCAGCTACTTTGGTTCTATCTTTATCATCACGTTTAGGAATGAATCACTGAAAACAGAGATAGAAATAGAGATGGATAGGAAAGTCTTGGGCCATCTAATTCATCTCCTTGTTGTGCCGGGAAGGTTTTTTTTTATGTCAAATGCCAGTGAGATATTGTGCAATAAAAGCCTTAGATTGCAACATTTCAATCATTTTTGTTGGGCGACTAATTATCTTTCAAGTTGCTTTCAGCATTGTTCTCTGAAGTCCTTCTCATGTATCCGTGTTAGATGAGAGATGTTTCCCTTTCTATACAGAAATGGCCTGGGACCTAAAAGGGATAAATTCCAATTATTTTTTCATAATAGTGATGAGTCTGCATTAAGTCAACATCCCTCCTTATGATCCTTTTTGTGACCAGTAACACACATTTGTGAGATCATTACCCAGAACAAGCTTGTTACCAGAGGATGGTTAAAAACAAACAGGAACCTCTCAGAATCAAACATGCCCCCTTGGCACCTTATGGTGCAGAAGCATTATTCTCATGGGGTTCCCAATAGAATTCTTGGTGTGGGATGACCTCCTCATTATCCCTAGAGCTTTGATGAGGGGAGGAGTGGAGTGGGGATGGCATTTGGGAAAATTATTGTTTTTAAGCTCTTTGGCTATTGTTCAACATCGCTCAGTTATCTCACATTGATTTAATCACATAATATGGTGTGTGCTCTTTTGAGAGCTATGTTTTATTGTTTTTTTCTAATTGTTGACTTCCTATATTCAATTTTATACCTTCCCCCCTTTAAAAACCATTCTTAGGTCTCTAGGTATTATTCCTCCAAGTTCTATGATATCTGCATGTCACTTGGTTGAGACTTGTCTGTAATGCCATTAACATGCTCCATTCCTCCTATTTGTCATCCTTAATTAAGGTGCTAAATTCCTTTGTGTCTTCTCACCAGCCACACCCTTCTCCCCCAAACTGAATATGCTCCATAAAACATTATCTTTTGTTTCTAGTGTTTGACATAATTCTTAATCCAGTTGAGTCCATTCTTACTCAAGCCAATTAGTTTGGGCAAGTTCACATGACCTTTTAAACTGATTTCTGAAACTTCAATTATGTGAATAAAGTAGTTTTAGTATTTTTCAAAAGCTCTTCCTTGGCAGTGCAGAGCAGTAATGATTAGCTGCTTGTGGAAAGCAACAAGGTAGGAACGCTAGAATGGATTGATATCTTGGATTTCATATGCTCCCCATTTCCTTTACTGAGTCCTGAGTTGCACTTTTAAGAAGCTGACACTTTATAATAACACTCCCCTCTACTCCCAGGTTGAGTCTATAAAACTAGAGACTAGGCAAAAGGCCACAGTTGGCTCTGGATACAAAGAGTAGAAGGTTGTGTCTGATTTGACCTTTCTTACATATTATAGAATTCTGGCAACTACCCAGAACTGCTTTTCTAGGAGAATATGTAATCTATATATATAAAAGCCTCAGTGACCAAACGACCCAATGACCCAATAACCCAACGACCCAATGACCCAATGACTGGTCGACCAGTCACTATGACGTCCACTGACCACCAGGGGGCAGATGCTCAACACAGGAGCTGCCCCCTGGTGGTCAGTGCACTCCCACAGCCAACCTCCATGATCATTCCACCCAGCTGGCCAACCTCCCCTAGTCACTCCCCCCAACCAGCCAACCTCCCATGGTCCTTCCCGCCGGCTGGCCGGCCCTGATCGTCCCAACAGGGACTGGGCAAGATGATCCCGATTGGTCCTGATCACCGGCCAGGCTGGGGGACCCCACCCATGCACGAATTCATGCACCAGGCCTCTAGTTAAAATATAAAGAAGTAGCAGTTTTAAGGCTTATCAGAAATGTCAATGGATGTTCTTGGATTTAGTAAAGTGTGTCAAAAGAAAATAAGAGTTCCACTGGTCTGAGGAGCACATGAACTCAGCATTGCCTCCCCCTTTTGCCATGCATGCATGCAGGGGCAAGCATGCCACCGAGAACACTTCATTCCTGTTCTCATCTGGTGTCTCCTGCAGCCACAGAGATCACAACAGCTGTAATAAATAAAGCATCTATTTAATACATTTTCATGCCAAATATTATTCAGCATTCTTTTGTCCTCAGTTTGATAGAAAACAGCATGGTGAACTTACTACCTCTCCTTACTGCAGTGAGCCCACATAACTATGAAAGATATAACAGTTCAAACCTGCACATCGGCAAAACCACCATTCCCTCTATTTTAAAATTATTAAGACAATAATACAGAGAACAAAAAATGTAATAAAGGAAGTCTGTTATCATTATTGAAGAGGTATTAGAATTAGTACTAGGCTTTTTTATTCTCCTCAGGAAAGATAATGAGAAGCATTCAGAATATGTGGCCATGCAAATGTATGGGTTAGAGGGGGGTCTTTAAAAAATAAATGTTACATATGTGGCAATATGAGGAAGAATATTCTTAAGGAATTTCACAGAATTTTTATGTAAAGTCTCATCATACAGTATTATGATCTCAGGGATATTTTGTGATATTTACCAAGTCTTCTGAGAGTTCATTTATTCAGGCTCTACTTTAAGGAGGAACTTATAAGATTCAGAGCTAAAATATAATTCTGGAATATGCCCAGCTGATCCCATTAAATCCAACCTGAAAAGGAGCAGTATAATGATACGAACAATTCGCATTCTTTGAGTTGTTACACCTCACTTGAAATGCATTCCTTCTGGATTAAAACAGCAATTCCTCTTTGTTTCTCTCTCTAGGCCGAGGTTCAGCTATGCTACCTGGAAGCACAAAGAGATGCTGTTGAGCAGATGTCCCTCAAGCTGTACAGCGAGCAGTACACCAGCGGCAGCAAGAGAAAGGAAGAGTTTGCTGATATGTCAAAAGTTCATGCAGTGGGAGGCACAGGGTAGGGAACTACTCTTTGTGTTGTTTTATCCTCATAATCTCCACTTTTTCGGTGATTTTGCACTGGTAGGCGTGAGGCAGGCATTTCCTCCCAAGGTAACAGATAAGAAGCAGCTCACTAGAGTAGGTAGGCATTTATGTTCTTTTTCATTCGTGCCTTGAGAGATGTTTCCCTTTCTATATAGAAATGGCTTGGGATCTAAAAGAGATAAACTCCAATTATTTTTTCATAATAGTGATGAGTCTGCATTAAGTCAACATCCATAGAATTGAAGACTGTGGATTTTACCAGCCTCTGTCACCTAACCCAGAACTTCCTCACTTTGTTATGATTTATTGAAAAACAGCCTTGTGATTTTACCAGTCTTTGTGTGACTATATCGTGCCTATAGTATTGGTGGTTTTTCTTTATAAATTTATTTTTCAGTGTATTTCCCCCTTTTTAGGTGGAACCATTCTTTTAAAGTTTGTCTATGGATCTTTTAAACACCAGAACCTTTGTAGAACATAATTTTCCTGAAAAATGTAGATATTTAATAACTGTTTAGAGACCATGGCTGGCCGGTTTGCTTCATTGTAAAGTCAACTGGAAGAATAGACTAGCATCTGAATTGTCTAGGGCAGTGGTCGGCAAACTCATTAGTCAACAGAGCCAAATATCAACAGTACAACGATTGAAATTTCTTTTGAGAGCCAAATTTTTTAAACTTAAACTATATAGGTAGGTACATTGTTATTAACTTAATTAGGGTACTCCTAAGGTTAGGAAGAGCCACACTCAAGGGGCCAAAGAGCCGCATGTGGCTCGTGAGCCGCAGTTTGCCAATCACGGGTCTAGGGTGAGTGAAAGGACCCAGCAACATCAGTAACCCATGGGCAGTTTTATTTGGCCTGAGACATATGGCTGTATTTACATTATATTAACTACCCATCTTCTAAATAATTATCATGCATTCAGATATTTCCAATGGCTCTAAAGTTATGCAAACATTGTATATATATTTTTTTCTTTTTTGTCTCTTCTAGCTTAATGCTAATATTTAGTAGGTAAAAATTAAACAGTAAAAGAGTAGTAATGAAATTTAATTATTTCATAGTTTTAATGACTTGATAATAATTATACTCATAAAAATGGAAACAGTAACCTATTTTACTTTTATACTTGAGCCAGACAACTAAGGAGAGGCACTGTTCCCCCAAGTCTGTTACATATTAAGAGCATCTTATTACCCTATGAGGTGTAACTCTAGCTAAAATATTTCCTGAAAGGCAGGTGGAAAAGAAATCTTTTTAGGTACTTGTTTGCAGTTATCTTTTAAGTACTTAGAGTTTTTATTGGACTTTACATCCCCATATAAATTTTTGGGATAAATTAAGTATGCTGACTACAGATTCTGTCTTGTTCTATGATCCAGGATCTAAGAATACAGAAAAAGGATCAAAGTCATAATTCTGTTTAAGAATTGAGAAATACATTTTTAAATTTACTTTTCTATATATTTTGTTGCTCTGTCAGGATTTCTTTTATCCATAGACATGTTACATATATATTTGATTACACATTTAATTCAGTAGACATTTATTCACAAGAAGAAAAGCATAGAAGCAAATAAGAAAGAAAAGGTTAAAACTTGGAGCATAAACAATAAGCTGTTTTGAAGCCTCAATGTGCTTTAATTTCCCTAAATGCCTAAGTGATCTCTGGTGTACACGCAAGCACAAACTTTAGGTCACATTTTCATGTTTTCTAAAGCCCTGGAGACTGAACGGGCACCACGTGCTTCTGACCTCAGATTCCAAGGACCCAACCTGAGTACTTACTCTGGGCTCCACAAATCATAAATCTGCCCTGGGAATTGCTTAGTTAACAACAAGCATTGTTCAGGGACGTGGGAGTAGGTGAACTTGCCTGATATCTTTTGTTTATGCTCCTTGGGGTACTGAAGGCTGTGCATTGTGCAGAAATTTAAGAGTGTGCTGAAGAAAAAGCAGCTATTTAATACTAAGGACAAAAACCATATACTATTTTCTACTTTCTGTTTACACACAGAAAAGCATTGTGTGAGAAATGCATGTGGGTGAGGTTATCTGGGTTGTTCTGCCCCCAAGACTCTTTGCTCCCACAGTCAAATCCTTAATTCTGAAACCTTAAGAACATTGCCTTGTAAAATTATCTGCTCCATGACACACAAACTTCATTAACTTTTTCTTTTGTTGCATAGACTGATCATTGTTTCTGATAAGCAATTGTGGGAATAGTGTGGGCTTTCTAGGGTCTTCATTCCATATGCAGATCTCCAATCTACTGAAGAGAAAATTAAGTTGGTGGTACAATTCATATATTTTTTTATTTCCTTCTCATGTCTACACCCATGCTAAAAAGAGCATGTAGTTGAAAAATGCACTGGACTACCCAACAGAGGACTCAAATTCTAGATCGAATAATGATATTAAATTTCTAAGAATTTTACACAACCAAAATATCATTTAGAAATGAAATTACCACTCTGGCTTGACAGACAGGTGTGTACCAAGGTGCACAACTATGAACGTGTGTTTAGCAGCCATGAATAGGTTTGGCTGGAAGATGTCCCCGAATGCTTGTGAGGCCATGTAAGCTTTAGTCACAGAGTGTGTTTGCCTGTGGGGGACATTTGGCACTGGCTCCAGCATTGCGAAGTGGGAAACTGTGGCTTCCTGGGGGATATGCAATGTCTGAGTCACCCAACAAGTTTTCCTCTGAGAGCAGGTTGGTGCTTTTTGATTCCCGCCAATTTAAATGAAAGCATTTATAGATGGGTTGTTTTCTTTCATTCCATAAATATTCATTGAAGACCTACTATGTTCATGGCATGATGCCCTGAGCAGAGTTTGTTAAGAACACCTACGTTTTATAGATTTTGTAAAGTATAACCCTCTTTTTTCCCAACACTTCTTTCTACTGCAAAAAATTCATTTTTTTACATGAATTTCAAAGATTCTGTTGAATTCATTAATTGGCATCCTACCTGCTGGCAAGACTTAGATTACCAACCATGTCTTTTATTCAGCTTATAAATGATGGAACTGGTAAGCAAAAAGGCTGGGAGACTGGCTTGTCCAGGATGATGGTGTAAGATGGAGCTAAGACCTCAACTCAGAAACCTGGGTCAGAATGCAGTGGGCAATCCATAAGTCATGCTTTGCTCTCTCTCTGAAGGATTTTATTCAGACCATTGATAAACATTTTCCCCTTAAATTCCATGTTGTGCATATTCCATACTTTATGAAATTTAAATTATGGTCTCTTCTACTATGGAGAACTGCAAAGAATCTTAAGAATATTTATTAAAGCCACAAGGAAGTTTGGGCAAAACTTAGCAAAGTAGGCTTCAGTGAAAACAAAATTGACTTCATCATTGATTTGGCAAATAGTATTATATGTACCTGCTATATGAAGTACAGAAATTAAAAGGCAAAATAAAATGGTCCCTGACTTTGAGAGGCCCAGAGTTTGGTAGGAGGAGCCAGATCTGTAAACAATATGGAATAAAAGATCACAAATGCTGAGTTAAAATCTGCATGAGGTTAAGGGTGGGGCTCATGGAAGGCAGAGCTGTTCTGACTGGTGGGAGTGAGTCAGAGCAGGTCAGGAAAGACATCACAGACAGAGGACTCTGGAGATGAATTTTGAAAGAGGGCAAGGTCAGGGGCAGAGCTTTTCAGTTTAATATGAATAAACATTTATTGAGCATCTACAAAGACAGACCACAGCCTCTGCTTTCATGAAATTTACAGTCTAGCAAGACAGTGCAGTGCATGTTAAGCCAGTATTTGTCTGCAATAAGAGAGAAGGGAAAGCAATGAGAGAGATGGGGAGCTCAGAGCAATGGGGTGGGCTCCATGAGATAGAGCTATGTCTTTTGTGTTTACCACACTGCTCTGAATCTGGTGCAGTGCCTGGCAAATGCTAGGGCTCAGTGAATGAATAGATGCATGAATGAATAACTAAAACTAATCCCGGGCTCAGAGAGAGAGAGCAGAGGTCTGGAATCATCAGACTGCCTGCTTTTCCATATGACTGGAGAGCAGGGTTGAAAGTTGGAGGGGGTGTGAAAAATAAGGCTTGGGGAGAAGGGGAAGCTCAGCTCCTGGAGTTAATCATTGAATTCATGGTTCTTAACCAGGATAGTGCATCAGGGTCACCTGTGGAGCTTTTAAGCTGAAAAAATGCCTGTCTACCCCCACCCAATGAAAATTCGGATTCAGTAGGTAGAGTGGGCCAAGATATGATTATGTCCTAATGCTTACTTCCAGCTGTGAGACATTGCTCTAATGGTTTTCAAAATATAGTTTCTGGACCAGCAGCATCAACATCTTCTGTGAATTTGTTAGAAGTGCCAATTCTGGGCCCCACTCCAGATCTACTAAATTGGAATGTATGGGGTCCAACGTCATTTAACAAGTCATTCAGGTGATTCAGATGCAGTTTGAGAAACACTGCTTTCGTCTTAAAGATTTTAGGTTGGAAATGAATGGAGAAGGATACAGATAGTCATGGAGGGGATATAAAGTATATCATAGGGAATATAGTCAATAATATTGTAACAACTATGTATGGTATTAGATTTATCGAGGTAATTAATTAATACATTATATAATGTCCAATCACTGGGTTATATACCTGAAACTAATAATTATATGTCAACTGTAGTTGAAAAGTAAGAAAATTTTTAAAATAAATTAATGGAGAATGTGGAGACTGAATTAGAAACTAAAGCCTGAAAAAAAATCAATAAACATTGGATGAGGGGAATGATACTGCATTTTCTGGTTCATGGAGGAGAAAGAATAGAGGAGGCTTTGGATTCAACTGACTTTGGTGTCATTCAACATCTAATATTTATTGATTTATACTATTAAGTGCTGGCTGAAGTAGGCATTGTGATGTAGAGACAATGGGAGACAGAGGGTGACAGATGTATGTAAATCAGGAAAGCCTTCCAGGAAAAGTCTCACTGA